AAGATTTGTTCCCAGGATGTAGGCTCTCTATTTACCTCTCTTATTGTTTCTTTTGCTGAGAAAAAACTTTTTAGTTTGAGTAAGTCCCATTTGTTGGTAAGATGAGTATAATCTTGAAGAAGATGTCAACTATCAGAAGGATATTATTTCACGTATTTTAAGTTCATGCCTCCAACAGAATGCTCGCCTGCAATCCATCTCAAAGCTTCTTTTTAGGATTTCCCCACTTTCTGTTCCATTACCTCTTTTTTCTTTACAGTACACTTATCCCTCCAGGAACCCATGGAGACCAATGTTTAAGAAAGTCCTTCTTAAATCAGCACTCAACTAGCTCTATGCCTGGAGTATTCTCCTATCTCTCTATACCTTCCCTCCTTTTTTCTCCCAATCCAGCTATTAAAATCCATACCCAGAAGATGACTTAATCTTTTATTCTCAGTGAAGCCGAGTATTTCAACTAGCAATGGTTTTAGGATAAAGTTTGTTTATCCTGGAATATCCTTTGTGTTTCTCACCTGGTGGGAAGGGAGTCTCTTGGCATCAAATTTATGCTACAAAAGGTAACCTAATACCCAAGAGAATGACTTGTTTGCATTTAATATGTGTTCTAACCTGAGGAAAGTGAGAAGCTAGAAAGTGCTGCCCATTTGAATTATGAGCCACTAATTTTAAATTTTCTAAAAGTCACATTAAAGAACAGATGACATTAATTTTAGTAATATATTTCATTTCTACTACTTATCCTAAATATTATTATTTCAACATGGGCATTTTACATTTTTTATACTCATCTTTGAATGTCAGTATGTATTTTATGGCTTTTAGTACATCTGAAATCAATGGTAAATTCTCAAAGATTAAAGAGAAATGTCCTTTAAAAACAATGAAGTTGTGATTAGTGGTGGTTAGTAGCTTTAGTTTTTATATCAAAATTAATTGAAATAAATTCAAAATTCAGTCACACTTGTCACATTTTAATAGCCAAATATGTCCAGCTGCTACTATGGACAGCGATGGTCTAGAATTCCCAATCAAACGATCTTTAAATCTCCTTCATCTTTGATGCAAAGAAAGAATCTGGAGGATCCAGGATTATGGAAAGGAAGAGAGGAGATGGGCAGACCTGAGAGAAGCTAAGGAAAACCAGCATAAAGAAACTGTCAGACATCCATGGAATGGTCTCTTTCCACTGAGCTGTGACCCAGAGAAACAATAAACAAAGATAGCACATCATCCCTGGGCTCTAATTGTGTTTTCATTGCTATTGTGTAAAGTTGGGTCTCTCTGATAGAGGGTTTGAGGAAATTATTCAGCATAACTATGAAGTGATGTCATATTTTCATTTCACAAAAGCCTTCAATTTGGACCTAAAATCTTGATCAAAGCAGAGATTTTTATCATCTTGGCAAAACAAAAAGAGGAAGAAATGTGTGGGGCAGATAGAAAGAGAGAGAGAAAGAGAGAGACTAGTGCCTTCAAATGATACCCTCAGACTGCTGCCCAAGGTGTTTCTGAGAAGGCCAGCCTTGGTTGCCTGTTCACTGTTAAAGTTGCCAGGAATCAGAGATGCTTCCCTCAGCATTCCGTGCACTTATTTATTGTCTTCTCAAACTTCTCAGTTTCATCCATTAGTTATTAGAAACCTGAATCTTTTCAGCAGTTGGAATGGACTATTATGAATAAATGGAAAGTTCCCTCTTTTCCTTGATAGAGACCAAAGAAGAAATGTAGAAAACCAAATGCTTAAAGTGAAGGAAATATTTCAAAATTTTAAACCAAAGACACTATTTTAACTAAGATTTGCTAAATATTAACTGAAGTAATAAACGCTGAAAGAAGCGATGTTATCCATTGGTAAGGGACCCTCCAGTGGGGACTGTAGACCCTCTGCAGTCCTTATGTTTCACAGCTTCATCTACCAGCTAGAGCCCTTGAGGGAGGCATCCTTCCAGACCTGGAAAATTTGCATGATAAAAGGTCCCATATTCTTCTTCTTTCAAAAGAGGGCCAAAGTTTGTTTACTATGCTTAGTTGTATATTCTTTGAAAGATTTGTCCAGTTGCTACACTTCCTCATTCTGGTGAACTTTCCAGGATTTTATCTGGGTGTGAACAGCAGTCAACCAACAGTGTCTAGAGCAAACCATCAGTAGAGAGAAGAGCACCTCAGTCTGTTCTCTGGGAAGGAAACAACCAGTTCAGATCCAATCAGCAAGTTATCACCCTAAAATTGAAAACAAGTAACAGTCACAATAATCAGTGAGATTTTATTTTCAAGTATTTCACTAGAGAGAAGGAACTAAACCTAACAAATCAAAAATTGTAAAGCCTTCACTTGAAACAGTTAAGAAATAGATATCCTGGGGTAGTTACTGGTTATCCCTTAAAATCAGATTCTCTCTTTCCCAATTAAATCTTTCATTGCTTTTCTTCCTCTGTTTCTTTTATCCTCCACTTTTTTTTCTAGAAGTCCTGTTGCCAATTACATACTTTTTTCTTCCAAGGAATCTTCCTGAAACTTAAGTTTCTCTCCCCCCCTCCCTCTTTAGTGCTGACAATCAAACCCAGGGCCTTCTGCACCCTAGGAAAATGCTATACTACTGAGCTATGTCCCCAGCCTCTTTCCTTTAAAAACTACCTTTCATGTAATATACTTTTGTTGACTTGCTATGTCTTTCCTCCTCCTAATAAAATGACATTTTTCTGTTTGGATGTTCATCATTTCAATTAGGCAACACATCTACTTCAGGAGAAATCAGCTTTATACCCACTTTGTTGCTACTACCTAAGCATAGGGTCTCATTTCCAGTTTAAAAACACTCCTGTGAAAGTCATAATCTACATATGGTATCCCCAGACCA